GTAATTATGAAAACTTTCCCCCTCTCTGCTTTTAAGTTCTCTCAAGTTTCCTTGTCATCTACCAGCCCTGCAACCCACTGTTTTACCTTCTCTAGAGGAAACTTCTCCAGCCTTCTTTCAAAGTGCAGCAGGAATAGTTGGGTATGGGGACATAGGAATCTGTTTCCTAAACAGACTTTCAACCATTTGTTTCCTCTTTTCCAGAGGAATATGATGCCTTGAATTCTGAGCCTTTTGGGAGTTTGTGATTAAAATTGAACTTGGGTTTCTAGGATGTGCTAAGTCAGATATGCCTATCTACCTCCTGTCCAGCTGCTAAACCCTATCCTTGTTTCTAACACAGCTTCAAGAGAGAACAGTGCTTAATTCATGTGTTTAATTCATCATCTGTAACCAGAAGCATCACCAATTCAATCTGAAGTATCGGTGAGAGCAGTAAGGTATTCAGAACAGAAATAGTAGTCATGTTATAGTCTACAGCAGTCAGATCATATCTGGAGCAACAGTTTCCATTTTGAGTAATGTAATCTGTGTTGACAAATTATATAATGACTAGAGAAGAGAGACTGCAATAGTTTAAGATGCAAAACCAAGTTAAATGAGAAGCAACTGAAGGAACTGTTGATATTTCTCTAGACCAAAAAGGCCTCTAAGATGCTGTGATCAAAATTTGAATGCAGTTAAGATGAATATCCATAGGCCATAATATCAATTCTCTGTTCAAAGGTTTTAGAAGGGTGAGAACACCATAGCTACCTTTAAATGTATATGTATATGTATGTACATTGTGTGTGTGTGTGTGTGTGTGTGTGTGTGTATGTGTGTATACACACATACACACACACACAGAGAGAGAGAGAGAGAGAGAGAGAGAGAGAGAGACAGAGAGACAGAGAGACAGAGAGTGAGTCTTGCTGTTGCCCAGGTTGAAGTGCAGTGGCACAATCTCAGCTCACTCCAACCTCCACCTCCTGGGTTCAAACAATTCTCCTGCCTCAGCCTCCTGAGTAGCTAGGATTACAGGCATGCGCCACCACACCCAGCTACCTTTTGTATTTTTAGTAGAGATGGGGTTTTACTTATGTTAGCCAGGCTGATCTCAAACTCCTGACCTCAAGTGATCCACCCACCCTGGCCACCTAAAGTGCTGGGATTACAGGTGTGAGCCACAACTGCCGGCAGCTCCCTTTAAATACTTAATTGACTCTTGTATTACAAGGAATTAGACATTATGTTTCTTTTCAAACAACATAAAAGTGATAACTGAATCAAGTGAAAGCAAAATACATTTTGGCTCAGTGTAAGGAAAACCTACAATAAGCATCTGAAACAAATGGGACAAAGTAGATAATAAAAACATGTGAACTGGCTGGACAAAGATACTAGCAAACTGAAAGTACATGTCATATGTGGAGTGATTGAGTGAGTAGCAGTATTAAAAAGGTCAAGATTTTCAAAAGAACTCATTTTGAGATTTATTTACAATATTCCAATTTTTGGACATTAATTTTGAAAATTTCTTGTCTTATACCAAATATATGGGCAGGATGAATTTATCCCATGTGACTCCTGTTTGTGACTTCCCTCAGGCTTAGGTCTAATACCCCAAAGTTATCACTGGAATTGTTCCAGTCAGACTTGGCTGCTCATGTATCAGGCATAATAGGTGAGAATAAAATTTAACTAAATAATGTCTAATTGCCTTTTCACTTTAGAAAGTCTATATTTGAAATATAATTTTTTTAAAATGTAGTTATCCATGGAGTAACTGTGCCCATTGCATGATCTGCAGTCTTTACTTTTCCTTCTTGTGCCTTTTGCTGTTTTTGGTCACTTAATATCATTGTGTAAAGCACATAACTTGTGCTATGCATATGTGGCAACTTATATGTGGCTCTTTTAAAAGAATCATCTAAGAATGAGGCAAAATTGCTAGCCAAACTGATTTTAAGTGTCACTCGTTGTTTTCTATAATCTACATAGTCACCATATCCCCAAAGAAGTTGTATGATATAATGGAAAAAATAATATATGCATGGTGGATTTACACTAATCATAATTTTAGAAGCTGGAATATACATTTGAGGCCATAATCCATTCCTCATTTATATTTGAAAGTCTTGAGACCTAAAAGGGTTAAATGACTTGCTAAGTTGTACGCAGTACATAATACCTGGTGTTGGGTACAGGTAGGGAAGAGAAGACATGATCTTGTTCTGAGGAACTTTATAATCTCAAATGACAGGACACCACACACATCTATTTGAGCAATTTAAGGTATAGAAAATCCAAAATAATGTAATTATATTTTATTGAGATTATTACTGAAAGATTAGGAGTTCACTTTCCCAAAATAAAAAACCAGATACTATGGAACTTGACTTCAGGGCACACCCATGTTGAGTGTCATTCCTCACACTTTGCAATTCTCCATCTCCTTCCTCCTATTAGTTCTCTGATGAAAAATTTCACTATCAAATAACTACTAGTAAATTAGGAGTGAGAAATTTATGAAAGAGTATTAATGAAGAGTAAATGGTAGCTACCAAGTAATTAGTTTTCAACTAATTAAGCATTATAATGAATGTCCCCTTACATTGAATAAAGAGGCATTGAGCATTTCTTTAATTGAGTTTTTTAGTGCATTTCACTCCACTTTCCATAATGTAGTGTTGATTCTTTCCATACAACCCTGATTTCTTTTCATAAGGAAAATGTAGGAAAATATAGAAAACATTCATCTTTTATCTCTATAAATACACACTATTCAGGAAACAATTACTAAAAGAATGGAGTTCCAAATTAAATTGATTCATTTTCTTCATAAAAAGTTAAAGACATAAATATCAAAGGACTAAGTTCATTATTTTACAAGCAAGAGCTTTATGACTGGGAAGTTTAAGCATGTACAAAAGTAAGTGACATCTCATGAAAAGAAGATACAAGCTTTGAATTTTAGTGTTATATTTCTAAATGATCTTCCAAAAAGATATGTGGAAGGTATTAGTCATTGTAGGAAACTGAAACGTATAATATGATGGAATAAGGATCACATTTTTCTCTTTGAGGTGATTTATATTTAAATGAGTTCTCCATAATCCTTTAAACTGAAGTGCAAATTGGTTATCAAAGTCCTTTGCTGTAAGGGTTGTTTTACATAATAATGAATTTTACAGAGTTCCTCCAAGGGAAATATTGATTTAGGCAACATCACAGAATATTTCAGTTAGAGTAACACGTTAGTGCCATAGATAGCATATAAAAACTTTCTCAAATATAATTTTTTTTTATTAAAAAGTGTAGGCAGTGCACCTTTCTGAATAGAAAATACATTTGTGATAGAAATTTTTAATTAAAATATTCCATTTAGTCTATCATTCCTCATCTACCTTAACAAGTGTTAGTATGAGTCAACCATGTGCTAGGTACATGGAGGTACATGGCTTGTGTGTGTGTGTGTGTGTGTGTGTGTGTGTGTGTGTGTTTAATGGGCTATATGAAAGTAACAGGAAATGTCCATTTGCCTGTACATGTGTGTGTCACATAATCCTTAACTCCAATTATTATATTTTTAACTCTGTGCTATATAATTTATATATGCTACTTTGTTCATTACCATGTGAGGCAGCCATGAGTATCCTCATTTTACAGATGAGAAAATTGTGTATGTTGTATGTGATGATTTGAACCAGAGTTTATTTCTCTCATCCATTATGCTACACTCCCACCTCAAATCTGTTTCTTTTCATTCTTGAGCCCTATATGGCTTACCTCCAAAGGTAAGCTCCAGCCCTCACCCCAGCGATAAGAGTCAACAGACAGACAGGTTCCTGTGTGTGGTAGCTCAGGAGACCTAGGTTCCCATGAGTTCTCATCGTTTACATGTTGCCCAGATAGGCTTACTTCACTTCAGTGAAATCCTGAGACAGAGCCCTGGGGAGAACTTGAAATTGAGGCTGTAAATGTGAAAGAACACTGAATTGAGTAACAAGCCCTGTGTTTGAGAGCCAGGTCTATCACTAACTAGATGTACAGGTCTAGAAAAATCAATTTACCTTCCTGAGCCTTTGTTTTCTTATCTGCAAAATGAAGAGGTTGGATTTATTAAGAGCTTTCACACTGTATTTATTTATTTTATAAGAAGTGGAACTCTTCCAGCAAATTAAGTTTTATACTGAATGCCAGTACGTAAACAGATACAGGGAGGTTACAATGGTCAGAGCAATGGCTGGGTTTTGAAGACATATGAGTCTGTCTACCTACTGGATATCTTCCTAATCCCCATCTTAACTCCAAGGAGGCTTCTTGTAGAACTTTTCAAACTGTGACCTACCACCAAGTTTATATCAGTTCTCATATACTGTGACTCAAAAAATAGCTGTAGCCATATGAAAAGAACATTAGACTTGTACTAAAAAGGAGCTGGGTCAGGGCTGATAATTCAAAGGACAGAGGCTATAAAATTGTAAAACATATAATCAAATAACTTGGCCCGTGGGAGCCAGGGGCATGCCTTAATCTTGAGGTTCCTGAACTTGGGTACTTAAGTTTTTCAGGGTGGTAGCAAAGGCAGGAGTTGGTATTATAATAACTTTTGAAACCTGTCAAATTTTGCTGTAGTTAATCTAATTATATATGAATATTATGTTAGCCTGATAGCATTATTCTGTTAATTGATTTTATTTTCTGAAAGGTTACTTGATATTGAAATAAACTTTCAATTATGACTCAGCTACTGTGGATTATATCATCAAAACATTTTTCCTTATACTTTCTTTTTAGTATGAATCTTAGGAAAATTGGTTCATGTACACTAAAAGCAAAAAAAAAAAATCCCATTTCATCATTGCAACTCTTGGCTTAAGACATTGTTGATGTATCTGTATTAAACGCTGTTAAACTCAGCCAGCGTCTCCCTGGCCCTATACTGTCTCTCTGATTGACAACATTTCACTGGTTTAATTCCCACCTGTCTGTGACCATGGATCCTTTTCACTTACCTGCCTCCGCCTTCTGCTGTTTCTCAATCTTCTCCAGGCGCCCTAGCAGGGAGTCAATTTTAGTTTTAATCTGGGTTAATTCTTTCTTGATGGTCTGTAACTCATCTGATTTCACTGGAAAGGAGAAAGAAGAAAGAAAACAACAGAGCATCAGATGCACCGTAACTCACCTAGGACCCAACTCACAGTCACCCCGTGTTTTCTGATGTCTGTGTTAAATCACATAGGATATTTTTCAATTTTATCAACTTCTCATTACTTCTAGAGATCCTGGAACACTGGATAATTTTGTCAAATACACATAGGGATTCTCAGTGACACGAGCATTTAATCCTACATCTTTTGACGGAAGGTTATGGAAATGGATAATGGAACTTAGAAATATTTTATAAAATAACCAAATGATGCTAAATTAAATTTTAGCAAATAGAGTAAATCTGCAATGTGAGAGGGATTCAGATGAAGAAATAATTAAATCATGACAGGTATGCTAATACTACTTTGAGGTACTATGTTGTAATATATATTTCAGCAATTAACGATATTTTAACTCAGCTCCTTGAAGATTGGAAACCAGGAAATAAAATTTATCCTTTAAAGAAAATGTCTTTCCAGCTCTCTGAAAGTTGCTATGAAGCCTTAGTCTTTCTAACAAAAAATAAGGCAGTGGGTTGTGCATGCCTCCCTCAAAGCCCTGGGCTTGATGGAAAGGAAAATCACTGAAGTTCCCATTGATATTTTCAATAGTATTGGTTCCCATGCTAGATGTTTAGAGTTTAGTATGGTTTCAAAGACAACAAATGGGGGCTAATGTAAGACTGATACATTTCATTTTGCCAAGTATAGATGTTAAAAACAACAATAAATAGCCTACTATTGACTATAGTAATTATTTTGTAAGAAAAAAGGGCTTAAGGAAAGAACAATCTCATATTTCAAAGATAATTCTTTAAATAAAATGTTTATATTTGTAAAAAATTTACTGCACTATCCTTATTTTTTCTGAGAACCATTTCAGTTTTACCAACTTTTCATTACTTCTAGTGATCCTGAAATACTGGATGATTTTTGCCAGTTACAAAAATAGAGATTCTCAGTGACATGAGTATTTAATCCTAAACCTTTTGACTGAAGGTTATGTAATGGGTAATAGAACTTAGAAATATTTTGAATCCACAACTATCAGAGATTGAAGATTTTAAAGCTATCATTATGCAACAGCTACACTTGTCTCCACACTTTTATTGGGTGGACTGGCAATATTGACACCTCAGTTAAAAGCCAAGTTTGAAGATCTTGGACACATTTGATTCCATTCTATTTTTCTTCTGTCTCTTTTCCTTCAGGTTTCTAATCATCTCAGAGTAGATATTCCCTGGAAATTTCTGAGGAGATTAGAGTGTTTAGCTTGATTCTTTAGTCTTCAGACTTTTTTTTTTTTTAAATAAAAAAACTACAATCTATGTTTCCTTAAAATAGAACTATTTGTCAATTAAGATAAATGATGTAATATACATAATATGTTATGGATCAGAAACATTAAGTCTCAAGGGAAGAACAGATTTTTATATAAAAATGAGAAAACTTTTCCATTGTGAAATCAGATTTTCTTTTTACAGCAGACTTTTATTTAATATGTAAAGTAGTTTGCAAGATAAAAACTGCAAGAAGCATGGGCCCTCTGGAGTATCCCTATTATGAACTACTAAACTGAATGTAGAACAGTATAAAATAGAGAATCACTCCTTATGTCAATTACTTCAAAGACATCAAAGTACCATTGTGGAATTGCAGCTGAATTTGAAAAACATCATCTGTCACAATTGCAAATTGATTCTGCTTTGAAGAATGGTACTCATTCTCTTTGATGAAAGCATATGTAGTTTTACTTAAATGTATCAAATTTAATAGAAAATATTTTACCTTATTACATTTTAATGCAGAAGAAATAGCACTATGGCTGAAAACTAACAATATGTTTTTTAGCAACTAGAGCTACTCCTTAGCCCAGGAATGCAGCTGACTAATTTAAATTTATGTGTTGCCTTAAAAAAACATAAACCAATAAACCACCACTACTCCACTTTATAGAAACCACATCAGAAAACAATTAGAAACACCGCATATTTTCACTCATAGGCGGGTGTTGAACAATGAGAACACGTGGACACAGGGAGGGGAGCATTACATACTGGGGTCAGTTGGGGGGAAATGGGGGAGGGATGAGGGTGGGGAGGTGGGGAGAGATAGCATGGGGAGAAATGTCAGATTTAGGTGAAGGGGAGGAAGGCAGCAAATCACACTGCCATATGTGTACCTATGCAACAATCTTGCATGTTCTTCACATGTACCCCCAAACATAAAATGCAATAAAAAAAAATTTAAAAAGAGCTGACAATACTAAGTGTTGGTGAGAATGTATGGTAATGGAAACCCTTTCACATACACATTACCTCTATTTTGAAACTGACAGCTTCTACTAAAGTTGAACAAATGCATGTATCATATATGCTTAAATAAAAGCATTTTCCAAAGTATATTGAAAAAAAATATATATATATATATAGACTCATCTGGCCGGAACTTAGAAGTCTCCAGGGAGCCAAGGTTTTGTTTAAGTCTAGACTCATGTCTAGCTCTGTAAGAACATTTTTCAGATCACAGCTGGATTATTATATAATTTGGGTCTAATAGGCTAATGTTGCTCAAGAAACAATGCTCAGATAAATGTGACATGGAAATCCGGAGAGATCCTGTCAGTTCTTTCCTGGACCCTACTAGGAAATGTTGAAGTGAGTTTCTAACCCTATGCAGGCTGCTCAATTCCTCTCTTAGAATGGGGAGTAGCAAATGTTCATCTAGGGTCCTGCAAAGCAGGCTGTACAAATAGTCTTGGCTACCTCTTGAGCAACCGTAGGAGTCGTATTCTCATCACACTTCAATATCTCAGTGCTATCCTTGGAAGAGGCTTGCCCCTTACCTGGTCCAATTAGCCTAAGTCCACTTTCTACTGTTTTTCATGCAGAGTCACTACTTATATATGGGGTATGATTTGTGCTATTACATCTGGTTTCTAGATGGAATGCCTGGAATGAACCACCTCTATTATCTCTGGTATACTGCTCTTTCTCTCTCCTCTGCTTTCATTTTCTACTTTTCCCCTTCCTGTTAACAATTTCTCTACTGCACAGCGAATTACATTAAGTCCCTGTTTTTGCTTACTCATCTCTAGTAGTTGAGCGTATATACATACAAGTATTTTAGAAGACACTGGTAATACTTTCTTCAGAGGAAAAATATATTTTACTCTTTTTCTCTAGATAAGATTTACCACAAAAAAATCTTGTCAAAAATTATCCACAAAAGCAACCATACTGTCATAATAGAAACCTCTGGTGGTTTTGTTGAAGACAACTGATTTTTCTATGGGTGATTATAGGCCTTGAATTTAGAATTACCAAACAAATTCGGCAAAATGATAAATTTAAAAAATTACAAATTTTCTAGGAAAAATTACTTTAGGTTATTTTTAGGCAAGAAGAACACTAGAGAAATAGAAGTCAAGTTGCACCATACAGATAATCTTAGATATTTCCCTAAAGTATCACTATAGTATTTTTGTTTCAAAAACTAAGTTACATTAAGTCATTTCAGATCTGCTTTCTCTATAGAGTTCATTGATTTGGTGCTATTACATTGTGATACAGATGACAAAATGATTGTGTCTTCTGTGACATAAGATATAATCCAAAAAGAATATTAGGCACATGGAATGATACCATCTGTCTATATTTTTAAAAAAAGTGCATTGCTGACTTATGTAGTAAAAAATATTTCAATTTGTTTTAATCATCTTTGGGTCAAGTCTATTTGTGGTAAATAAGCTTCAGCTAACTCTAGATTGGTGGTTCTCAACAGAGAGTGATTTTGCTCTACAGGAGAGATTCTGCTATGTCTGTAGAGACATTTTTGCTTGTTATGACCTGGAGGGGGTGGTGCTACTGGCTTCTAATGGGCATTTAGTATGCTTGACATCCTACAAGGCACAGGATAGCCCACACCACTCCAGAGTTATCTGACCCAAAATGTTGATCATGCCAAACTGTAGAAATCCTGCTCTAGATAACTATGTAACCTCCCTTACCAATACTATGCTTCCTATCAAATATCTAGAAAAACTGAAAAAATGTTTGTAATCATGTGGACTTTCACAATAAATCACATTATGTTATTTATTTTCCCCATCAATTAATACATTATTTGAATGTCAAAAATAAATAAATATAATTTGCATAGCACTTAATTTATAAATCACTTTTAAGTACAGTATTTCAATGTTAAGGAACCTGAGAATCTAAAGATGAACATGGTTTTCCCCAAAATCACATGATATACCCACATAAGAGTTCAGGCTCAAACCTAGATTTTCTTAATTTTAATTCTACACTTTTTATTGTGCCATGCAGCTTCAGTTGATGTGAAAAATACGATTGTCAGTTTCAGTTCTTTTCTTCACTATGAATTAAGGAGTCACTGTGTTTAATTCAATAATATTCAGGAAAAGAAAAGGAAAGTTTCTAGAAATCTCTATCATGATTACTTCAACGCATCTGCTCTGCTTTTATCTGTCTCTGTTTATATATATATACAAAGTCCCAATAATAATAAAATGAACAACTGGCGTGAAGTTACAGGACAGGTGATTCCCTTGTCACATAACATAAAATACAAATTCTAAGCTAATTTAATATGACAAGGCTAATTTGCTAGTCTCGGAAATAATTTTCAAAAGCCAAACTTTAAGGTATTTTGCTAAAATAAAGTGGAGCAACTGGTTATTACCCCATAGATCAAATTTCCTAGAATGAGGAATTACATATATATGCATATATAGTATGTATTCATAATACCTATGCCTACATACATCTATACCCATTCTTTTTTTTTTAAAGAAAATAAAATGGAGAATGAATGGATTTTATTCCCTAAGTATTTGTTAAATGCCTACTGTCTGCATCTGTTCATCTTGCATTTCATTAGAAGCTGCATGTATATATTTCATTTATTCCAAATATACAAATCAGAATTGTTAAACTTACTTTTGGATTTGAACG